TTACATTTCCAACTTCACTTCCAAAATGGCTAAACGAAACGAAGTTCAGTAATAAATACGTAACCGGTTGCAAGAAATGGATTACAAGTTATGGTTGTCACAATTCAAGGTAACGAAATTAACAAACGAGAAAACAAAAATAAAGGAAAACAAAAGACACTTACAAACGTCCTACGACATCTGGGTCAACTGCCAAATTAAAGACGATGTAAAGCGACGTAAAGCAACGTAAAGCGGCGTAAAGCGATCGAAAGAGACGGTATAAACAGTTAGACGGTTCGAATAGTTAAACGGTTGATCCGAATGAATAAAATCCGCGGTAAAGACTAATACAAGGGACATAAACAAAAGGCAATTATGCAGGAAAGAGTAACAGAATATTGTTGAAAGTTATGCGCACAGAACAAAAGGCATTAATGAACTGTAACAAAAGAAGAGTACGAATTTGTAATCAATCGAATTTTTGGCGGCAACAATAATGGAATTATCGGAGACCTTAGCAACGGACTGTGTCCCATCCTCATTGTTCCTTTGTTTTTGTTTTTTAAATCTTTTTCTTTTTCTTGCTAACAACTTGCCGTTGGTTGCGCATTTGTGTTGTCAGAAAGTATTTCTGACTCCTCCTCATTAATTGGATTCATTGCCAGTTTGCTGCTTGGGAACGGAGTATTTAAAAATGGCTGGAGCGTTACAATAATATGTATGGAACAATGAACTAAATTGAAAAATAAAAATACCTCGAGATGCTGCACATGTTTCCCCGACCTCTCATTTTTTTTCAGAACATCTGACAAATTCGAAAATATAAATAGATAAATCAACGAGACTTCCTTGTAAGGTCCAAATGCATATCAAATGAGGTGTTTTTTGCTCCAGTGTAACTCCTTCAAGTGTCTGAGATTTGTCTGAGATATCCTCAATCAAAGGTCGTAATGTTAGGCGTCTTATGACAAAAAGTGGTTCCCCGACTTCGCATAACATTCTCCTGTTGTTGCAGTTTCTTTTAGTGTATTTCGCGGCTTCCGCCCATGCAGGAAATGAATTCCAAGGGAACTTAAAAAAGCTAATTTTATCCTGTAAATACGTCTGCAAATGGGCCGATATGAGTGTGTAAGGAGTTCGAGAAACCACCGTGGTCTTGCGCAAAATTCCTTTACGACGGGCTTCCATCTTCTTTCTCCCTAAACAAACTTTGTAACCTGGCTTATTCGGCTCTATAGATAAGCCATTTGTGTGGGCACAGAATGTATACCCATTGAAAGAACTGGAGATTTGAATGAACCGTTCATCAGACACGTGCGTTCTAATACATCGAGAAACTGGGACTTGTTGTAGGAAGCCTAGATTTACACACTTGTAAATTTGATTTCAGAAATACAGATTTCCTTCACATAAAATATAAGAAACCCAAAATACATCACAGCAATGTCAGATGTAATTTCAAGGTACATGCAGAGAAGCTATGAATGGAAAATCTTTGTCCCAGATCCAACTTTATCATGTATAAAACAGGCAGTAAATATATCATACCTATTGCTAAAGATATGGCACAAAAATGTTCAGGATGGATGTGATCATATTGACTTTCTCAATGCCACGGTTTCCAGCTCATGGTTTAGAGTTAGTCGAGAGACAGGTTACCCTATCCAAGGCAAGCTAGAAAGAGAAGTAAGAATTGTGGCAAGCAAATATGGGCAAACCAAAGGAAGAAAAAGGGAACAGCTTTAGTCAAAATATCTTACTTTAAGCATTCTACACAGAGAACTAGTGTCTATTGAGGGAGCGGAAAGGGACCTTCATCCCACAAGAGATGAGCTTTCAGACTGAAAAATTTTTAATGATCTAGAGGCAGAAACGCAAAAGCTGGTACATGAAATGAGGGATTTGCAAAGAAATACAGAGGAAGAAAGGACTCTGCAAAATGAACAAAACCCAACTCATTTCTCTCCTTCACTGACAACAGGGAAGGCATTGCTGCACAACTTCTATTTGGCTTGACCTTTGTATCTCTTTGACTTGTATTCACTTGAAATTCTGCTACCTTTCAAAAGCTGAAAAACAGAGGAAATAAATATCAATCAAAATAGTAACTTAAAAGCACCTCTAAGCACATTCAGTTTCATATAAAAACATAATTTAATGTTATTGATGACAAGCATGTTGTACTACGTCTTAAATACATTCAAATGTAAAAACTATATATCCTTCTTTAAAAGTACCTCTATCAACCAAATATCAATGCCTTGTTGGTGTTACAAAAATTATTAATTAGCTAAAAGTTAAGTTGGTAAATATTCTTCAATGCATGCTTTAGTATTAGTTATGAGAGATACCATCTCGAGGGGCATTTTTGGTGCTTGAAGAAGTTTCCCTGCTTGCACTACGAAATGCTTTAGTGAGTTTCCAAGGTAAGCTTTTCGTCTTTAAAGGAAAATCATAGGCCTTTCCCTGGCCATGAGGGTCCAGATATATACCACCAATAATAGGGTGGAGACAACTTGTTAAAATCCTCTAAGCTGAGCATGGTGTATTTAGAATCCCTTGACGATATTCCATTGTAGTTAAAAAATATCGATAGACATCATGCTCTGCCTATGTTAACTTTGCAAGTGTGCTGCACTTTGACAGCATTTGATTTTAAAGGTGACTTGACTGCCGGATAAAAGCCTTTAAATGCTGAAGCAATTTCACTTTCTGAAGGCTGTGGAGGTTTTTGATAAAGTCTAGAAGAGATTCAGAAAACAGATTTATTAGGAAAAAGAAAATTCGTTCAAAACGATCTTAACAAATCAACTAAATTTTTCAGCTTATGTTTATTATTCTTATAATAAAAAAACAAGGTGTTTTAAATATTAGAGGTCAACTAAAAAGCATGTCTTCTTCTAAAGGACCTATATCAACTTCAACTTTTTTAAGCTTTCTTTCTCTTGGCATGAACTGAAAAATTATGTTGTTGCGGTAATAATTCATCTTACTTGACAAGCTCTTTAGATAGATGGAGGGCAGGCTCCCAGGTACATGATGACATGGGCCATCCTTTCCACTTGATGAGGTACTCTATCTCCTATGAGAAAATAAATAAGAGGTGAAACGGTCAGCTAAAGACAAGCCTTAGAACAGCACTTTTAAAACAGGCATTAAGTACTTACTTTGCCGCTTTTCCGCTTCGAAAGCAGTCTTTCGTCTTTCCGTTAAAACTAGAAAGTTATTAGAAAGTAAGATTGATTTCGATGTAATAGTCTCCACTTTTGTTAGGACGTAGACCTATGGACCCCCCGGCGCAACATAACGTTCCAGTGCGTACTAAAGTATGTTTTTAATTCAAAACAATCGTATCGCTAATGCATACGAACTGGCAGCTGTAAATGTTTCTTTCGACCGAGGGAAAATGGGCAAGCATTTAGTTTAATGTTTGGAAAAAAGTCTTTTTTGAACCTTTTCCGAGATAGTTGAACACCGCTAGATTCAATAAGAGGGTTACTATTTTAGAACGTGAGACTGAGTTATTTTTGTGACTGGACGCAATAGTCTCCACTATTGTCATGACGTTTCGTATCAATGTTGATTCGCATCAGAAGAAGCAAAGATCTATTGTAACAATTTCAATAGCTCGAATGCAGTAATTTGTTCGCATCTAATTCTTGCGTATACTGTACGACTCGCTATAATAAATGTGGCAGAATTGGAACGAAATGGCTGTTTTTCTGTACCTTTATTGAGGAATGTTGTGTTGTGATGGAAAAGAACATCGACAGAAAGCTTGCAAATAGAATTAGTTACCAAATACGATACAAACGATGCTAAAAAGGAAAGTTTGGTAGAGGGGGTCCAAATCTGCGAAGGGGGAGAAGGGGAAGGTGGAGTCCACATACGCGGGGGGTCCAAATTTGCTGTGACACCGGCGCAAAATGTCCGTGATTTCTGATAATGAGCTCTACTAGCTTTGGAAGCCATCGTAAATGATGTCTTTTTTTTTTTTTCAGTCTGGCTGGGTTGATTTGTGGTGGTCGCCCAGTGCATTGAGATGCAGCTGATTCTGTTGGATTTGGTAACCATGTTGTGCATCAAGTCCTTCTTCTCTTATACTGACAACCTTTGAAAAGTAAGCTTTCAAACCGTATCTGTTTTGAATGACTTCAGCACGTCATGGTTATCATTTTAGGATTATTTTCATGTCCATATTCTTTCCTAATGTAACATATAATGTAGCTCTTTTAATTTTATTGCATTTAAATCACAGATTTTCTTAATTCTTTGTCAAATTTATAACCAATTTTCTGCTAATCACTTCATTTTTATTCCAAAAACTTTGTATCACTGCAGCACGTCACTCCAAAGTTTCTTCACAATAACATTTCAATTCTAATACTCTGCCATTATAAATCTGAAAACTTTGCATTCTCAAAAATGAATTTGCACAGCACGCCATCGTCACAATTTTAAGATTATTTTCCATTACAATGTATTTATCATTGTTGAATAAATTTGATGTAGCTCTGTTTTTTATTGATTGCTCTTTTTCCCAGCTCTATACTGAAAAATTTCTCAATGTGCACGAGAAAAACCAGGCGGAGTTGCTAATGCTCAAATCTATATCAATAAGGGTTTCCCATGGGAAAACACCCATTTCCTGTATTTTTTGCACAATGAAATGCAAGTTACTGTGGCAGACATAAATGCCATCTGTAAATTTAATCCACTGGGTTATATTCTATATCTATCAGACTTCAGGAACATTGAACTAGATTGGCCTAAATTCAAAATTGAGAAATAGTGTTTCACTGAATCTTTTAACTGATATTTTCCTTAGGAATGTTGAGCAACACTTAAGAGACGAAAAGTTGAGTTATATTATTTGCAGTTTGGTGCCGAAGTTAGACTGATAATTAGCACAGGTTGAGTAGGAATGGAAACCGTGTCACTTAGGAAAATCTCATGAGCAATTGTAGCACTCAGTTCACTCTGACTCATTTACTGTGTTTGGTGCATTCTCTTAAAGTGTGGATGAGCTGCTTAAAATTAAGCACGAGCTGACAAAAGAAAGAGATGAAAAGCTATCTGAAATTGCCAGAGTAAGGGTTTTTTATTTCATATTTCCACTCAAATTTTCTTTCGCTCTTTTGCATTCTCTGTGAATTTTCACGAGCCAGCAGATGTGAAACAAAAATTGTAACAAAAAACAGTCTTTACATAGTAACTTATCGGGGGCAGTTTAGTAACTTTGCAAAAACATCTACATCATCGTGCTTAAAAACTTTTTAAAACAATACAACGTAGGACTTGCAAATCTGTGCAAAGCAAGTGCTAGTTTTGTAGAAACTGGCAAATATGGGGTCCCATATAAATTTTCATGTCTGCCTCAAATTTCCATGAAACCTCACAGACTCTTTGATATTGATATTCTTTTTATAAATGTTTATTAACAAGGAAGGAATTTTTTTCCAGTAAAAAGTTAGAAAGCATGCAATCTTCTAGGGGGTCCATTAGGTTTCATAATTGATAGAAGACAGGTTTCCATGGTTAAACATTAGGTTACATTCGCATGACTTTTTTTGGACAGCTAAAAGAAGACATTCAAGTCCAAAGTAATAGAGCCCAGCGAGAGGCTAGAAAAAGAAAAGGAACTTAAAAAGGTGTCGAGTCAGGCAAAGAGCGATTTAGAAAATAAAACTGCTGAGCTGAGGACAAAAGCAGGAAATCTTCAAAGTGTATAGAAAGACATCACTAAACTTGACCAGCAACTCAAGGAACAGAGGGTAAATTTGTTAAGAGTTTTTATTAAATTTTCATTTGTCATAAAACGTTCATGTTAATATTCGCGTGATGATAAAAAAAACTTTTAGGCTTCCCTTGGCCATGGATATTTCTTTAATTAGAGAGGAATGGCTTTCAAGTGTTGATGATCATATTTGATTTCTTTCAGATAGTGAATGAAAAAGCTACGGAGTATACAGATGTGTTGAATGCTCACTTAAACAAAGTCCAGCAAGATTTTGATCAGCAACTTCTCAGCATTGATCGGCTGGCCACGGAAAACACATAGAAAGCTGCTGAGTTGAAGGCAGAGGAAGATGAGATAAACGGGCTGAGACAGGAAACACTGCACCAAAGTGCAATGGTAGAAGCCATCTTGAGAAAGCTGAGAGCCATTGAGTATCAGAAGATTGAGGTTGAACAACGGGAAGAAACTCTTAAAAGACAAGTTTCTGGCTTAGAAAAAGGTAACTGGAATGATGGTATGAGGAGAGAACGTTTGTCTTTTTTGAAACTAGACAGATCTCAGACATGTCTGGCTTTTTCTTTCCTCAGTTCTAGAGTAGCTCCAACAAGGCAAAGTTACTTTAATCGTGATTTTGCGTGTAGATTTAAGGGACTTAACAAGGTCAACTTCAAATTGCACCTTTTTCCCAAGTATTATCCTATTAAATAAGTTATCTTTGTTGTATGATTAGTACTAAGTTGAGATGCAATTTATGCAACGGCAGGCGACCAATTGATATTGATAGCCTGACTCTATATCTTGAGATAAACGAAAAAACATCTATCAAATGTTTTAGTTCTTGTTAAAAGCTGATGTAATCACAAATCATGATAATTAGATTGTCTAACATACCTAATAATTAAGACTACTCAAAAGAGATTTAACTTTTACAATCTATAGAATTTCTCTTCCTTTATCTTAATCAGACCTTGAATCAAGCAGGAAGCAGGCTGAAGCGGATAAAAAAGCTATCGATGATCTTATCTGTGAGAGGGACATCCTTAACCAGGTACTTTACCCTTGTCAATTTTACTCTCAATCTGAGCTTGGGAGTTTTGGGTTTTGGGTTTTAGAGGAGGATGTTATATCTAATATTTGCTTTCATTTTTGTCTATTGATCTTTTAAAAAGTGTCGAATTTCTGTTATAAAAAACCTTAGGGACATTGATGTTTGATGAAAAGGGAATATGGATTTTGTATGAAACATGGTTCTTTTTATGAAAAAGATCATCGCTTCGATAATTCTCCTTAGGTAGGCTAAAAACTAACAATTTTGTTCGAGCTAAATTGAATCAAATTTACGAGGGAAAAGGAATATGCATTTAACTCATGATCGAACAAATAAGCAAAGAATTGATAGATTGATATGCCTCGTGGCATTCGAATCCTGGTGAGTTTAAATTTTTTTAGTGCTTTTTTATAAGGTTCAAGAGTCCTCCTTTACTATTTTATGGTAAAATTGAGCGATCACTATTTCTATCCTGTATGCTATGGAGTCAGGTGGTACATGTCGCAGGACCTCATCTGCTGCGGAATGAATGCACTTGGGGTATTGCCATTCCCCCTGGATTGAATGTTTGTCCATTGCGGGTTCCCCTCCTCCCCTGGACTGACTGCTAATCCGTTGCAGGTTACTCTCCTCCCAACCCACCCTTAGGAGGTCTTAACCCCCTAAGCACCGCAATTTTTCTCATCCTATGTTTTCGAGTATAATTAATAAGAGTAAGGATTTGAGTTTGTCTGCGTTCTTCAATTTACACAGGAGGATATGGAAGAAATGAAAATGTAAGTACAATGTAAATGTAAGGCTGTCTCATTTCTTGCATCAGGACCGTGCTTTTTAAGTGCTGTCAGGTCTCTCGATCTTATTGCAAATATATAAGCTAAGGAGTTATAGCTGTGTCAACTTAAGGTTAATGTTTACTAACCTGAAAACGCTAGGGAGTTATACTTGTGTCAACTTAAGGTTAATGTTTGCTTACCTGAAAAACGCTGAAATGACTAGACAACAGCCAAGTCTATCTTGGATTCAAATTTTGGCATCGGAAGCTGCCGGATTATTCGCACACAATCAATTATCAATCAATCAGTTTGGGAAGTTATAACCTTTCCCCTTATTTTAGACCCTGCAGCACCCCTCTGCCTTTCCTCGTAATATTTGATTCCTCGTTAAAAATTAACACTACATCTAGAATTAGTAAGAGCCATAAACATTTCTATTTGCCAGAAAATATTTTGTTCACATATTTTACCAATTTTAAAGTGTTCCCTAACGTTATAAGTGTTAAGGAGCTCCAGTACAATGACACGAAAGGACATTTTTTGTGTCGCTGTAAAGTGATATCATAGAGTGCTGTAAATTTTTTTTTTTTTTACAGAGAATTTAAGAAATTAGAAAGACACTTCGCCATCTATCGCCTGGAGGTAAAACAACTGTAATGCACATTTTGTACGTAGAACGTGTCATCTGGTTGGTGAATCTACTGTCTAAGCTAATGTATTAAGCGGAATCAAGTGACAAATATTTTTATGTTTGTATTTACCAGCGAAATATTTGAAAGAAGATTATTGTCTTACCGAAACGATTGATGAGATTGGAAACAAGCTGTTGAACTTAAGGGTGTCCATCAAGTTTTGAATCTTGTCGTGCCACAAAAGTGAAAGAGCTCGTCCAAATATCTTTAAACTGCTCTTTAAAAAAAATACACAAAAGCTTGTTTCTTCTTCAAGAAACTATTTAAGCATTCTTGTGACTTCTTGTTAATATTATAGGACGCTACCATACCGGGTAACCAATCACAGAGCCGGATATCGCACACGTGACTACAAATCAAAATAGACTTCAAACCCAGGAACAATTGAACAATAAGTTGTCGGCAAATTTACAGAGAAGAACAATGGAACAATACATCGATTGTTTTCAATTCCCAAAGGACTGACATCATCATTAATAATATATTCATGACGTCATTAATGTATTGACGTGTTCCTGCATGACATCATTAGGTAACTAACTGATTATTTATGTGTGTCTAAGAGGGATTTTGTGATCCATGTCGGAGTCTTTTTTAGGCAAGGCACATGCGCAGAAAATGTAAATATGATTTAAAACATCTAATTCGTCAAACACCGCACATTTTGCAATTTAAGGAAAAGTTTTTAAGCCGTGAGAGAATTTTTCAACCCTTAAGCGCAATAAAGAATCTTAAAGCGCAGTAAAAAAAACCTTGTAGTCTATAGGAGAGTTTTTTCCATTTAAGCGCATGAACAATGAAAACTCACACAAAAAAATTAATTTTCAACATGTTTATTACAAAAACATTTATTACAAAAAGCAAGGAGGAAAAGCAAGGGCGAATTTCGACTACGAAATGGGTCTTACCTTCAGGCACTTGATTAATACAAGTTAGCATCGGACAAAGCCTTATATAGAGATAAGCTCAGTTGTGTTCTTTGTTTCCGAAAGAGATAGTTGTTTAAACAGTTTTAAGAGAACCTTCATGTCTTTCTCTAATTCGAAACGGATTTTTGCCCTTTTTTTCCAGATCCCATGAGTAATTCCTTTCCAAGGAACACGTGGAACACATACAATGCGGACGATACGCATGCATGTTTATTTACTCATCCACCACTGCACAGCTTCCATACAACGTTTCTCTATAGATTCTTGAAACTCTTTTTCCAATTTGTCTTATTTCTCTTTCAGTGCTCCTAATATTTTTTCCAAATTGGATTTTGTATGTAATTGTTCTTCTTCGAGTTGTCCTACGATGGATTCTAAAGATTGCAAATAATCTGATAGCATGTAGTCTGCATTCGATTTCACTTGTTCTAAGGTTGTTTCCAACTGTGTCACTTTACGAGTTAATGTCTGTAGACTCTCTCGTATATTTAGAGCCTTGGAAGTTTGTTGTTGTTGTTTCAAGTGTTCCAAGACTAGGGAGTCTACTTCCTTTTTCAGTTCTTCTTGCGTCTCTTTGATGTTAGCAATTTTTTCATGTATTTGTTCAGCCACGGAAGTGCATGGAAGATTCATGATGAATGATGAAAGAGAGTGAATGAGTCAAGTTATATTGGTATTTGTTTGAAACTAGTTTGACTGGTAATGATGTCAGTTTGCTTGCCCAAACTATGATGTTCTTGATACTTGCCCAAACTTGCACAAGTCACATGTTTGACGAGTCATGATGTCACTTTAAAAAACAAAAAAAAATTTCACTTGCCCTTATCCCTAGAGTAAAAACTAGTTTGACCGGTAATAACGTCATTTTATGCTTGCACAAGTTACATGTTTGACGAGTCATGAGGTCACTTTATAAAACAAAAGACAAATTTTCACTTGCCCACATCCCCTTATCCATAAAGTAAAAACTACTTTGACCGGTTATAACGTCATTCTATGCTATAAAAGAAAGAAAATCAAACCAAACATCATCACTCATCATGGCAGAAGCACACGTAAAAGTTGTTATGAAGAAAAGAAAGAGAACCAAACCTGACCCCATAATCAACCGTAAAGATGACTTGGTTCTTCCAACAAAAGTAGTGAAGATTCAAGAAGAAGTAATGGAACAAGGCGAAGTGCGAGGCATTTTGGAAGAAATGGGTTTTGAAGTCCCTGCCCCCTCGCCAAGATGTTTCTTTCATCCTAAGAAAGAGTTGGAAAAAAAGACTTCCCAAGCTGGGTTTAATTAGAGGCGATGTCCTCTGAAAGAATGCCCCGTCTTTATCGGTGAAGATCGTTTGAAAGATTATTACGCTTGTGCACACGATTCAGAGAAGCTGTTAGCCGTGTACTATGTTTTGCTAAGAAAGAATTTGCTGAAATGTCGGTGTCGACAACCCATGAAACTCTGCCTGTCTTACAGTGACATGAATCCGAAACGTCTGTACTTCCGTTTTCAGAGAAATCGCTGCAAAAAACATCGCTGTGGACAGATGAAATGCCTACCGGTCGCAATCAAGAATTATAGAATCCCAATTTTGTGGATATCAATGATCCCTTGTGGGAAGACATTTGCGCTCATACTCAATTCCAAACGACCCAAGACTACAACAAGATTGAATTTCCTCCTGAAGCATGGGGCATGAAATAAAGAGCAGAAGATCGTGAAGATTTGTTGCGTATCGTGTACATGATGCGCCAATTGAGACACAAGCAAGAGATATAAAGGAAAACTATCGAGAATCAAGAATCAGTTATTGCAGTTCTCATCATGACAAGACGCGTACCTTTAATAATGTCTGAACCGTTACCTATGGAGAGTTTACAGCAAGAAGAAACAGTGACTCCGGACGTAAAGACGGATGTGGTAGAAAGATTTGAAAAGAAACTTAGAAAGACAAAGACAAAGTCCAGAAAAAAAAGTGTCAAATGTTCAAAATAGAAAACTTTCTGGAAAAGAAACAAAGAGGACCGCAAGGAATTTGTTTCAATAAGAAAGCATCTTTGTTTAGTTTGTTGTCAAAGATGAAGTGGGCCAAGACTCCTTTAGTAAAACTGTTGGATAAAAAGAAACAAGATAGGATGTAATATAATGACATGATTGTTGTGAATAATGTTCAGTTGTGATTTGACATCACGAGTTGTGTTTCTTGTGTAGCGAGCTTTGTCAGCGAAGCCATAGATAGATTTTGTTGGAAGATTGTGTTACAAATATGCAGAGACATTTATCAAAAGTGTTTTGCCCCAGAAGATTGGATAGTGTTTGAAGAGGAAGACATGTATCCACCTGCGAAAGTGTTTGCCGAAACGGTCACGAGTCCCTTTCGCTTCATTGTCTTTATACTATGGTTGCATGATACTTACCTGGAAGATGCTTGGATTCATTTCAAACACATTAAGGCTCTATATGCAGAACGTTGTAGTTCTATCTTTTCATTAATACGCCTATTGTTGAACCCATGTCATGGCACCCCGCACCAAGAATAGAAAAAAGAATAAACGTGACAAAGAAAGAGAATTACTGGAAGCTGATGGAGATCCTACAAAACCGGGAAGTTTGGGAGGTGCGTCGCGTTTTGTTCGTATACATCGTCTGAAACCTGCCGAAGCTCAAAAGATTCTCGAAAAAGATTTGGCTTACACGCTCCATCGACCGCGACGATGCAGAAGATTTCCCACCTTACTCGTATTGGTGTTTGGTAAAGACGAACAATTGGTTGCAGATTTAGTGGAAATGCAAACTTTGGCTAAACATAATAGTGGAAATCGTTATATTTTGGTAGTCGTGGATGCGTTTTCAAAGTACGCTTGGGTAGAACCCATAAAATCTAAAACGGGAATAGCCGTAACCGAGGCTTTTAAAAAAATCTTGAAACGCGCCGAAGAAAGAACACCACAAACATGGCAAACGGATGATGGAAAGAATTTTGCAATCACACATTTCAAAAATTAATGAAAGATAAAGATATTCATCATTTTTTTACGACCGGTGATACAAAAGGCAGCGTGGTAAAACGATTTAATCGCACTTTGAAAAGTAGAATGTATCGTTATTTCACGAGTGCCAATACTTACAAGTACTTGAATGTCTTACAAGCGTTGGTCAGAGGATTCAACGAATCCTTTCATCGAAGTATACGAATGCAACCCTCCGAGGTGACTTTGGAAAATGCTAGTGATTTGTGGGATACATTGCACGGTAAAAAATTAAAACAACAACCCAAATTGAAACCCCGATTTCGAGTCAACGATAGAGTTCGATTAAACGAAAAGTCCAGGATGTTTAAAAAATGATATTTACCAGGTTGGACTGACGAGGTGTTTATTGTGTCAAATGTGGTACCTGGAGTGGTCTACACCTACGATACGCCCGTGCGAGGTACTTTTTGCGAGCAAGACTTGCAAAAAGTACAAATACCCGAAGACGCTTTCCATCGTATAGAAAAAGTCCTTAAACGCCAAGGCAATAAAGTTCTTGTCAGTTGGAAAGGTCTCCCTCCGAAATATAATTCTTGGTTGCACAAGAAAGACATTCAGAAGCTATGATGGATTTCTACTTACACTTGGAGAGCGATGCGTGCGTGCAAGAGTTTCCGCGGAATTCACTGCACAGCTTCAAGAAACGTTTACCTTATCCCATCTACATGAAAGAACGAGGATGGAGAGTGGGATTGGCTAATGTGAGTTATGCTCTAAGCCGTCCGAGAAGATTTTCCTACGACAAATTTGGAGAAGAGGGAAAACATATCTTCTGGGGAGGCATTAGTATGGAAATCACCTATAACGATCAAAGCGATATTGAAAAAATAACCCTGTCCAATTCCACATACCTGACTTGGACTCGATTCGTGGAAACAGGACGCACTTTCCAAAGTGGAGTGGAATTCATGAAATTGCTGGTAGATTATTATGGGGGATTTATAGCCGAGACCAAAAGACACGATGCGGATTTCATGATTAAAAAATACGACAAAAGAGCTTATGACCCTCACGAGTTAGATTTCGATAAGGTCTTACTCGAAGGAAGAGGATACATTACGTTCAAGTGGGAAGGAGAGGATTTGATCATCGACAACATTCGTACATGGCGAGAAGACAAGAATGTATTTGGAAATGCAATGAATGCACGATCTAGTATTCGATTCGGTACAGAATTGGCCTTGGCCATGGACTAGACTCGATACGATGCTTTGAATGATGAATACTTACCTCAACACAATAATTTACAAATGATGTCTCCGGAAAAAACCGGCAGAGAGACCTCAGGATTACCAAGGAAAGTATTGGAAAGTGGACGTTAAGTTTCTTTATCTCAGCGTATTTGCCGATTGGAAATTTAACAATCTGAATTTCTTGTTCGAGAACATGATGGGATGGAATATTACTCACAAACACGGTATCGAAAGAACGTTGCGTGTCGAATCGAATGTGGCTGCTAGCACAATTGTGGGAAATCAAATCACACATGTCTTGCAAGAAATACAATATGTACCCTCGACGAAATATTACGAACCCTCACACATTCAATATATTCCAGTGCGTCAACAATTTTTCGACATAATCGAAGTGGATCTTCGCAAAGAAAACGGCGAACACTCTACCTTTGAAACGGGTAAAACCACCGTGACTCTTCATTTCAAGCAATATGGCCACAAGCGGAATCGTGGTGACATTACCCAGCAGTAGTAGCAAATCGGAATTTCCCAACAATAAAACGTCCAGTTAAAATATTCGTCTACCTTACCTATTGGAATTGAATGGAAAATGGGAAGTGGGATTGAGTAGCATCACTCTACCCGACACGTACCTGGAAATGAGTATATTGAAAGACATGAACATGTTTGAACTAAAAACTGTCAGAAATTACATTGGAGACAACGTGGAAGTACCTAAAAACAATACAGCTATTTTGACCGTCCCTTACGCGATCAAACTATCGAGAGGCACGTTTCCTGGAATAAAAAATTTCATATCGCATGTGAAGTACGACGATATCAAACATTCAAATGTCATCACGGATGGAATAACTTTATGAAAGTGGTGATAAGCAAGTACGAAGAACTTGTCATGCAACGAAGAACGAATTATGATGAAGGTCCAGGAAATAATACCAGACTAAAAGAAAGTCAGACTAAATTAAATACTGACCAGAAGACCAAGGGAATTTTCACTTCAATTGGGAAGGAGACTAGCTGGTCATAGACAACAAAAACTCTCCAAATTACGAGAACCAGAACATCCTTACATGTTCATGAGTTGGAATATAGACTTGGCTTTGAAAATGCGATGGGTTACACCATGGCCAGAGAAAAAATCGTACAGACTTGGATCTAATCTCACACTGGAAAGCTATGCAGAGTACGGATGTGCCTCTGAGGCTCACGATCTGATGTTCGCGATCAGTGGTTTTCAACAAAGAGAAGAGCGGTATCAAGAGAGGAGTGACAAACGAAGTGAAACGTCAAGCAGCCAAACGACTGAAAGGATTTTTTTTATTGAGAATGAATCCTATGGGACCCGTGTATTCTAGAAAGGTGTCTAGCGTGCGTTCAAGACAAGCTCTAGGTGTGGGTCGACAAAAAGGAGGAAACATATTTTCTACCGTGAAACGGCGACGTCGGCGTCCGAGTAAAGTACAAAAAGGAGGACGAATCTTTCAAGAATCACCATTTGTGCCTGGATTCGAACCTGAAACTGTCAAGTGGTGACGAAACGCACCACAAGAAGAAGAAGAAGAAACGATAATGTCCACGGAAGTCAATCCCGCGCACGGGAGTTCGCTACCCATGGTCAATGCAAAATTAGACCTTTTCAAAACGCTGCTGACGGACATCAGTACCTCTTCCTACCGTACGGTACCCATTCAACCTTTCACTACTGTCACGACACCCATTGATTTCCAAGTGGATGCCCAAGGGGACTTTGTGGATTTGAATAGAAACTACTTCGATGTGGAATTACAATTGAGTTCGACTGATAATAATAACTTGGCCAGGACTGCCGATGACACAGACACCATGATTGCACCCGTGAACAATTTGCTCATTCCATCTTCAAACAAATCAACATCAGATTGAATGGAACTCTGATCAGCGAACAAACAGACACCTACCATTACAAAGCGTATATGGAAACTCCATTAAACAACAACAGACAAGACGGTGAAACGATCTTAGTTCCTCAAGGATGGTATAACCACATCGATGTGGTAAGCCAATACACAGCTGCGAATATCAAAAATGATAGTGCTCAGCGCGCAGCCCTATCCCAGCAAAACAAAGATACTTTAAAAGCACAGAAAGATGCCCTAGTTCCTTCTGTAGCACAAAGAAGGCATACGCTGAGGATGAAACCTCATCGATCTTTCGAGAAGTTTTGTCCAACTGGATTTAGGTTTCAAAACCACAGAAAATGCCAATCTCACAGCACGCGCAAACAATGTGGGTGTGATGACCTCACCAGCCAACAATATTGCACACGCCCTCTTCAAGCAAATCAATTTCAGAGCCAATGGCACCGTACTCACCGAACAAGTAGACATGTACCATCTTAAAGCTTTCATACAGACGATCCTTAATTATGACAGGAATGATGGAGAGACGATACTCGAACCAGCTGGATGGCGGAACGAAATTGATTCTCCTGTAACCTACACCACTGCAAATGTAAAGATGGATGATGCCGCGTATACAGCTCTTTCTACAAATCATCAAGACAGCATCAAGAAACAGAGAGCAGATGCAAGAGAATGAAACCGTTTATAGACGCGTTTCACCAAGGAAAATGGATCGTCCCCAAAACTCTTTTGGAATTGGAATTTTATCTGAATTCAGCAGCTTTGTTCATGAATAGAGAAGCCAATCCACCCGATGACGAAGTCCGAGTCAACCCAGAGGATATTAAACTTACCTTCTTTCTCTGTCTTCTGTCCCTAAACCCAGCCGTCCAAGTATCACATGATCCGTTTCCCCTAGACAATGGGGCCACTTCTAAAGAAATTAACAACCCATTCGATGGAAAGGTGCCCCAGAGAGCCATCATTGGTATTCTGAAAACTACTGCATTCAATGGTCAATACAACGAAGACCCCTTGGCCTTTGGAAAATTTTGGCTGGAATACATCAGACAAATTGTGAATGGAGAAGAATACCCTTACGAGACCTTGGAACTCAACACGGCTAATGGTCAAAAAGACTTGGTGGGTTATCACCGATTTCTGAATGCTACTGGCTGTCTGTACAGAAATGCAGGAAACATGGTGCGATTCAAAGACTGGGGTCATGGAAAAAATTGCACGCTGTTTGCGTTTTCCAATGTGGCCAATAGAAGACAAGATGACCTGGTTCTTCTACCTAAAAAGGAAGGCTTCATCAACATTCACATTAATTGTGCAGGGCAAGCAAGTCAGAAAAAGGTGATCGTTTATGCTGAATATGAAAGCATTATGGAAATTGATGGCATTAAAGGAGCTACCACCATGGAAGTGTGTGATGGAGTTTGTGTGGCTTACTACAAATCAACTCAACGCTTTAGCGGATAGCGATCCAGAACTCCGCAAGTACTTTGTGAGTGCTTTAGCCTGTGACGAACTACCCGAGTCGCCTGAACGTGTGAAACCGAGAGCTTACATTGTCAATACCCACCCTGCAGACAAACCTGGGGAACACTGGATAGCTGTGTGGACCGAACATGATAGCTGTAAAATTTTAGATAGTTATGGTTTAGATTTAACCACCTATGAATTTCTGACACCATTCATTGTATGGTTAAACCGATAGCCTTACGTGCGTAAAAATACTCGAGTATACAATCGGTAAAAACCGCAAGTTGTGGAAATTATGCCATGATTTATTCAATGTGTAAAGCAAGACGCATGAGTATGGATGAGTTTTTTCCATGTTTTCTAAAAAGGATTATGTAGGCAACGATTATAAAGTAGGCGACATGTTAGAAGACATCATTCAATCGTTAATAAAATAAAAGGAATGAAATAAAATCGTGTCATTTTTGTGTAACTCGCTTTTAGCAATCATGTTCAAGTGTGTGGAACCAGGATTCTCGTTCAAATCCCCTTCCAATATTTTGATTGTGTGCCCTACAAGTTGTGGAAAAACTACCTTTCTCCATGACCTGCTTTTAGAAAATTTAGACCTCTTTGACGAAAGATTGCCCCGCGTGCATTACTGTTTGGGATCCTGGCAAAATAAGTTTGACGACATGCAACGCCATGGCATAGAATTTTTTAAAGGAGTACCTACCCACGACGATTTAATAACATGGTTTGGAGATAAACGAGGGGGTATTCTTGTCTTGGATGATCTCATGTCGGAGGGAGGAGATGACAGAGAAATACTTAATCTTTTCACACAATATTCTCACCACATGAATGTCACCGTGTGTTATCTCTGCCAAGACATGTTCCCTCAAGGAAAATATGCCAAGACCATCTCTAGGAATGCGCAATACATTATTGCCTTTAAAAATCCTAGAGATAAAGTGGCATTGCACACCTTACTGCTACAGATATACCCGACCAAGTGGCTACCTGTCATGGATATATATAATGCATGTACGGACAGACCCTATGGTTATTTGTTATTTGACGTACACCCTGCAAGTAGAGATTCTACGAGACTTTTAAGTCACTTGTTACGACGCGAAGGGTGTGTACGCTGTTACAGAGAGAAATAAATAAGAAAGATGCCTGGTTATAAGCGCAGTATGCCCACAACCCGGAGGAGAAGAAGAGTGAAAAGAAGACTAACCAAAAGAGGACAAAAAGGAGGTATCCTACCATTAGTGGCACTCATTCCAGCCCTCATTGCTGGAGGTAAAGCATTGGGTTTAAGTGCCCTTGGAGGAGCTGCATCGTTTGGGGCTAAAAAAGGCTTAGACGCTCTTACAAGGAAAAAGCGATGATTAATAGATTCAAGAGAAAAGTGGATTTTTTAAAATCTATTTTACAAGAGAAAAATAGAAAGCGTCGTATGGAAAAATTACTTCACGCTAGTAAAGATCAAATCAATGTCGTCAGTGAATTCACGTTGAACATGTCGAAGAAAAAGATACCTTTATTACCGCCTACCGTTGCCAAACTCAAGAAATATAGAGTGATGTTTAGAGAGTTGGGTAAACGGAGGAACTCTTTAAGAAAGCGACGTCAATTACTCGTGAATCAAACAGGCGGTAGCTTTTGGAGTGGTATGAACGACGCGTTCTCTCAGTGTTTCAAAAGATCATGACTGTCACCGTGCAAGAGGGTATAAACGAAGTGGACACGGGTATAGAGTTTGATTTGCAATTCAACCACGACGACGACGACAGTGACTATAAGGATTCAACCGAGTGTAGACTCACAATACTCAACTGTTTCGGTGGTTGCGTATACTTGTGGTGGAACCCTTGTGGCGATTATGGAGACGTTCTTAATGGTGAAACCCGATGAGTTTCGAGCTTTGGTAGATTATTACAAGGGAAAAATTACTGAAAGTACTCTTCTGGACAAAGCCGCACGCGTGGCCGCCGAAGCAAAACTGTTATTAGAAGATATATCTACTCTTACTGCTTTAAAAGAACCTGTGGTAAAAGAATTGTTGATGCAAGAACGCAAGCTTACTGACAAATTGAGACAGATTCCTATCGCTGGTGGTGTAGAACCTCCACCTCGAGACGATGAGGGTAATCTCATGGAGGGGTTGCAAGAGGGATTGTTAAAAGAACTCATTAAATCCATAAATATGAGGGGACAAGCCGCCGTACCTCAGATGACACCCAAGAGGGAACCTGTCACACCTGCGGGGATCAAGAACGAACCCGTCACCCCTGCGAAACCGGGAACGTCCAAGATTCCTTTTCTCACAGCTCCATCCCAAAAGATACAAAAAACGAAACGAAAACTTCCTGTTCCCACACTGCAAAAACATCGCACGGAGTTGGAACGACTCAAAGAATTTGGTAACTGGGAACCTTGGGAAAAGAGAAGTTACGACCCGTATCCAGCGTTTGAAGATCACGAAACGCCAAAGTCGAGGATAGGCAAAGGGAGGGACAAGAACCGTCCAAGCTAAGGCTAAAAGGAAACGATAGAGTGGAGGAAAATTTGATATTCAGAAATGAATTTCAAAGTTAGGTGTCGAGCTTCATTGGCCTGGATACCAGTATATGGGTCCAAGTACAAAATTAGCCAAGCGATTAAGAGAGGTTGTCTGTAATTATCGAGAATCCGGCGACAGATGCAAAAATTCAACTTTTTTTAAATTTGCTCCAAAAGACCCTTTTGGTGAATCGTTTTCAAATATAATATTCCAAAGTTCTAGCGAGTTTTTATTTTGGAAAAAAATACGAAAGTTCGAAATCGGCCAAAACGTACCTAATTTGCATAATTTCTACTGGGCTTTCAGTGCATTTTCACAACGCACGCACAAGACAACGAAGAATTATCTTGGATTAATTTTTTCATAAGTTGTTTTTCATCCCTTGGAGTAGCTTTGCAACTATATTTCATCTCCAACTGAACTTTCTTTCGTTTGTAACCACCCGCGTAAAGTACACTATATTTTCTATTCCGTTTGTAGGCTGAATTTTGCTATATTTCAGACGACCATAACATCGAGGATATACAAATGTACATAAAATAAAAGAGCTCTTTTCAACGAAAAACTCTTCGTGTTTATCATGTAAAAATATTATTTTTGGCCCGTGAAAGGCGAGCGCGCCAGACGAAAATATATAGCGTGCATTTTCACGGAGTTAGGCCATTTTCTTGCTGTACTCCTACTGCAAACGCACGCTATTGGGACAAAACTCGACGTGTTTGGTCTCTACTTCAGTTTTGATTCATTTAAATATATCAATTTTAACTTAAAAATTAGCCTACCTTTATTGTTAAGTGAACAAACCACCGTTTTAGGTAAAGTTTTTGAGTTGATTTTTCTCGAGTGGTAAATAATCAAATCGCTGTTTACAAAGATACCAGCTCTGTCGACGTGTTTTTAGCTGAAATTGGGCGGTCGCATATATTGTTCTTTAATTTACAATCTATCCCACTGACATAACTTTAGAGTAAATTACATGTAACTATAAATGTTGTTGTAAATACGTGAGCGTCATTTAAATAAAATATTCGCACATAAAATATTCGAAACATGTAGTTGTCGAATGAAAATACTCGCTTAATTGTGCATGAACCTTGTGTTTACATTCGGTGTTTTGCTCGGTTGCTTCTATAGATTTCTGCCACTGTCACTGTAATTAAAATAGTATGTTTCTGTAGTCCACCTGTTTAGATACATTTTCAAATCGACTGTAGGTTGGAATTCTTTTGGTAAAAATTGTCGAAGAAATCCGAGAAAAATGGCATGTAGCACCGGGCAGTCGTGCTACATTCCATCTCACCGATTTCAACGAAACTTTGCCAGGTTAAAGGATCTACCCCAAAACTAAAAAAGACAAACTGGTTCTATTTTGGTTTTTTCCGGGGGGATATAGACCACCCCCCCGGTTTTTCTTCATCCTTAGTTAATGTCCACCTCAAGTATCAGTCAATTTGATTGACGGCTTGTCAATCAACAGAGGTAAATAAACAAGTGAGTTTTTAGACTTTTTGATTCATCCAAATATTTGACAACTTTTAAAAGTGAGATGCAAAGATCTTTATTATTTTTTTTAGGCTTAATAGGAGCTGTACCCTCTCCTGCAGTCTTCGTCTAAATTTGCAAGGTTGCTCCTTATCTTCTGCCTTGTTAAAGGCGGTTGCCTTACTAGTTTCCTCCCCTGTCCAGCTCATGTCAAGGAGATAATTCTTTGCTTTCTGAGAAAAGTTGGCCGGTTTTTTGTGTTTTCCAAAGAGCCCATGCAAAGTCCATTTGGCTAGTTAGTGATGTTTCGTCTGAAATTTACTTTAGATCCGACCTTGAACGTAGCCACCCCCTTTAAAATGGCAAGCCGGTCTTCGTCCATTTTCTCTTGATCTTATCATAGTCGGATTTTTTTGTCAGCTTCACCGTGTTTGCCTTTGTCAGGGTGCTCTGGATAGCAGCCAATGACTGAAACGTCTTGATACATCCTTCCTCTCAGCAAGAGGGAAAAAAAATCTCGCTTTCTTGTTCTGTCTGTAACGGATTGGATATAGTTCTCGCGATGACCCGCGTTCAGGGATCTGTGCACATTGCTGATAACCACCCACTTCTACGATTAGTTTCCTGAAGGTTTCTAATGTGATGAGCCTAGTGAGACCCTGAGGTGCTCCAAACTGTGCCAGTTGGTCTGCGCTATAAACTTGTCGCAGTTGTAAAGTCAGAGGAAGGATCGCCCACCTCTATTTATGTGAGCATCTCTACAGTACCTGCGTATCCCTAGCAATCATATGATATAAAGTTCATTTCAGTCACAAATCATCAGTTAGGAAAACTAATGTTCAGATAAGCGCTCTTCTTGCCCTTCTTCCTTATTCATCACTGACTCTAAGATAGCAGTTACAGTATGCGTTCTATTAGGTCTACAGTCACCTTGCCACCAGGAAGACTCGCCACCAGCTTTGATTTCTTCTGCCATCTTCAGGTTCACTTCTCTCAACTTTACGTCTCCGATTTTTATGACGAGGATACTGGCATTTACAAACCCGAAGGTCTGAATCTCATACCAAGTTGTGTACGATATTTGAGGCATATCGTGAAATCGCGGCCTTCGTAATCTCCAAATAAGCCAATACGCGCTAGAATAAGCTTCTTCTCGGACGAAACGCATGTTTGGGATACATTGACGTCTCTCAAATGTTTTTTTTTTTTATGCTGTTCACCCACGAGTTCAGAGGTGTGAGCTGTTGCCGTCCCTGGCCAGCGCGAGAATTGAGAGCTTTTTAGACACTCGATTTCTTATACGGCATCACTATGAAGACGTAATACAACTGATACACCTACACTACATAGGATTAACAATGTCTGTTGCGCTGTTGCGAAAGGGAGGAAAATATTACCGGAAGTTTAAATTCTTTAAGAGTTTCAGAGACGTTCAGAGATGTCACAAAAAATTGACCCTCTCTTAAATTTACTGGGAAAAATGAACTTACAAACTCCTTACAAACAATTTTGCGTTTTCCTCGGGTTGTTATAAAACAGGTCATAAATTGATCAGTGAATAGAATATTTTGAAATATTGTTCGAAATTTGTCTTTTTTTGCGTGCAAACCAAGGGTAGACAAAGTTTATAAAACATTTGACAAGAATTTCATGGGGTTCACCTCGATAATTTTCGTCGGCCAGAGTCAAGACGCATCAAGCTAAGTGACATCGCCCTCCAGTAAAATAATTTTCCAAAGAATAAATGTGGCGAGCGTGGGGAAACGCACATTTTTTTTCATTATTGTGATCAAAGGCCAATAATGTACCTAAATTGGTACTTACGGTATCAAACCATCGATTATGACAGGGTGAGCTTAATTTTTCTGTCGAGGTCGACGTGACTTCGCATTAAAAGCGTTTTTGAAACAAACTAGTGAGCATCACTGCACGAACTGAGAAAGTAAAACTTGTATTTATCTCCCACGCATTTCGTCTGACAATAGTAGACTTCATCAAGGAGTTTTACAAGTAGGGTAAATAAGCTTTCTCATATACAAATAGTAAATAAGTTGTCTCTTTACTATTGAAGCCAGCGGATATAATTCGCCAGAAGCGCCTATACATGCGTGACATTTTTCGGACGTTACATGTACGAGTACGTGATCTGTTTGAGGGTCACAGATTTAGAGTAAATATTTGACCCCTCGACGTCACGTAATGTCTCTAGTTCACAGAGGTCTTCGAAAGCTTCATTACATGGATTTGCCTTCTGCGCGTAGAAGGCTTCAAGCGAATTTCTTGGGTGTAATTGCTTTTGATTTCTCAACTGATGTTGTCGCAAACACAGCTTTTGGGAGTCACGAAACAAAAAAGCTTATCGGGACCTAGTTTCATGTACTAATGGAAGTAAATGGCAAATAAAAACATATTCTCTTGAGAAATAAAGTTATAAATAACAGGGGCTCTCTGAAACAAATAGTGATGAAAAATGTTTCAGTTCTGGTCAATATTGACTTTTCATAGCCTACTTCCAAATCTAAGGGAACGCGCCGAGGGAAAAAAACCATATATGTGTGATAATGCAAGGAGGAGAGTAAAAATACAACTAAAGAAAAAGGAGAAAACATAGAAACCCGTGTTGCAGCGCGCAGATATCTTTTGAGCCAGACCTACACACTCATGCCCGACACCACGCAAAGAAACTCGAAAGAGTGCTGTATATGAACTTGCTCGCACGTGCACGCAGGAAAGGCCATGACAATCAGCGAAAATAATGGCAAATGCAGATGATATTTGCAGTCAAAAAACAGGCAAATAATATGACAGAAGGATAAAGAGCTTTCTGGAGGTGTCTTCTTAAAAAAAAAAAAAAAGAAAGACAATTTTTACTTCTCTTGAAAGGTCACGCAGTCACGCTTCAAATACTATTTGTACGTGGAATTTCTTGATGGTAGAAAGTGGAAAACCATTTTCCATTCTTATTTTCTGGAAACATGGTGCAGTTAATGAATGTTATGGGGCTATTGATATTTCCTATCAAATAAAGGGGGGCAGAGTTTTCCGTCATCTGCGTTCTGGAAAAGCCGAAATTGTTACACTCGGGAACTTGTACGTCAACAAGCACGCGATATGTGAATTTAAATCTCCTCTCCTATTACAGTTTCCTTATTGTGAACTGTACGATAATGATAATAAACAATCAAATTGTAGGCTAATAAATGTTTTGGTTTTGTACAAGAGCCCTATTTCCTGATTTTAGCAAATTTTTAAAGTAATAAACGACAGAAGAAAGAAACACTACGATTTTCCCATCAATTTTTGAGCTAAAAACACGTCGACAGAGCTGGTATCTTTGTAAACAGCGATTTGTTTATTTACCACTCGAGAAAAATCAACTCAAAAACTTTACCTAAAACGGTCGTTTGTTTACTTAACAATAAAGGAGGGTTAATTTTTAAGTTAAAATTGATATATTTAAATGAATCAAAACTGAAGTAGGGACCAAACACGTCGAGTTTTGTCCCAATAGTGTGAGATTTACAGTAGGAGCACAGCAAGAAAATGGCCTAACTCCGTGAAAATGAACGTTATATATTTTCGTCTGGCGCGCTCGCTTTTCACGGGCCAAAAATAATATTTTTACATGATAAACACGAAGAGTTTTTCGTTGAAAAGAGCTCTTTCATTTTATGTGCATTTGTATATCCCCGATGTTATGGTCGTCTGAAATATAGCAAAATTCAGCGTACAAACGGAATAGAAAATATAGGGTACTTTACGCGGGTGGTTACAAACGAAAGAAAGTTCAGTTGGAGATGAAATATAGTTGCAAAGCTACTCCAAGGGATGAATAACAACTTATGAAAAATGAATCCAAGATAATTCTTCGTTGTCTTGTGCGAGCGTTGTGAAAATGCACTAAAAGCCCAATATAAATTATGCAAATTAGGTACGTTTTTGCCGATTTCGAACTTTCGCATTTTTTTCCAAAATAAAAAACTTTTGAATATTATATTTGAAAACGATTCACCAAAAGGGTCTTTTGGAGCAAATTAAAAAAAAGTTGAATTTTTGCTTCTGTCGCCGGATTCTCAAAAATTACTGACAACCTCTCTTAAAACGTGGTGATCCAGGAATTAATCGTCTTGATAGATTAGCCAAACAGCACGATATTGATTACAGTAAAGCTAGATCACTCGCTGACAAACATATTGCCGATCGTAAGATGGTAGCCGGAATCGAAGGCTGAGGAGCAAAGATATGTTTCTAATGTCCTAACGGTAAATGGCTATTCTTCGTAACTTCCAGAAACCAGTTACAACTATTAACATTCCTGATGAAAAGAAAGCAGCGACTGGTTTTCATGTTCTTCCTCACATTCAAGGTGTTACGAAACCCATCAAGAGAATTTAGAATAGCCACAACGTTAGAGTTGCTCAAACACCTACTTAGACTTAAGGGCATATTTTTGCTAAACCCAATACTAATTTCACTAATGCAGCTAGATCGTGCAGTTTTTTCAGTTGGACAACTGAAACTAGTTTGACCATTTAAACTACCTCAAGAAATTAAGATAGTTTGTGCATTTTTCGAGTTTAACTGTGTTCGCTAATTTAACTACTAACCAAGTGGAACCTATTAAGGTTACTTGACTAGTTTAAATTGAACCCATTTAGCCTAAATTTTGGAGACTTTCCAATTGTACTATTAAGGCTATGCGTTTTGTGTGGTTCAACTATTAAAGCTAATATAATAAGCTAGATTAACCATTTTGAAATTCTTTAATCAATCAAGATACATTTTGCAATTTGCGCAGTTTAAATGTTTTCACCTGTTTTACTATTTAACTAGTTGAGCCAATTAAGCTAAACTGATTTCTTAAACTTCTTAGACAAGTTAAAGTACATTATAAAATTATGGAATTGAACCAATTTAGGTACTTACGCATTTTGTCCCATTAAACAATTTATTTTTGGTTCAATCATTTGAATGATTTTAGCCAATGAAATTAGATTGTGCAAGTTGTGAAGTTTAACTGTCCTTACTTGCTCGAGTATTTAACCAGGTGAACCTGTAAAGCTTTAGATATGAGCAATTTGAACTTTATCAACCAGTTGTGATAGATATTGCAGTTTCACTGCCTTCTATTGTCTAAATATTCAACCAGTTGAAAGATTTAAGGTAGATATGCATTTTATCTGGATTAACCATCTAAGCCAGTTTGACCATTTAAACGACTTCGGCTGATTACGCTAGATTGTGAAGCTTGTGCACTTAAACCTATCAAGCTACTTATGCTAGTTGAACCAGTTAAGCTAATTTGACCGTTTGGACTACTTCAACCATCTAAGAAAGATTGTGCAATTTGGGCAGTTGAACTAATTTTGCTGGTTTGACTAGTTGACCAGTCTCACCAAATTCGGCTATATCCTGCAGTTTGTGCAATTGATCCAATCGAGCCTGTTGTGCATTTTCTCCATCTGAAACAGTTTCGCTCATTGACCATTTGAACTACTTCAACCATTTAAGATAGGTTATTTGTGTAGTTTTACTGTTTTCGCTAATTTGACTTCATAATTGCTTGAAGCAATTAAGATTTTGTAGTTTGCACCATTTAATCATTTAAACCACTTATACGTTTTTGTCCAGTTGAAGTGTTTAAGGTGGTCTCACCATTTTTACTCATTGAACTAATTTAGATAGATTCTGCAATCGGTACAGTTTTACTGTCTTTCGTAGTTTGACTATTAAACCACTTCAGCAAATTAAGGTACCGGTAGTTTGACTTTTTTATGAGTTGAAGTCATTAAGCTAGATTGTGCAGTCGAGCCATTTAAGGTCGTCTTGCATTTTGTCCAACTAAACTATTTTAGTTCATTTCATCGTTTTAACTACTTTAACTAGTTAAGATAGATTGTGCAGTTTATGCAGTTTATGCAGTTTATGCAGTTTAACACTTTGGAAGGTTTGACTATTTAACCAGTTGAACCAGTCAAACTAGTTTGACTATCTGGATTACTTGTACCAATTCAGTTAGGCAGTTGATTAATTGCAGCTATTTTGACCATTTGAAGGACTTCAACCAATCATGACAGCTTGTGCAATGTGTTTGAGTTGAACTATTTTCGCCAGGTTGACTAGTTAATCAGTTGAACCATATTAGTTGTCATGTATCTTGTCTGGTTAAACCATTGAAGCTAACATTACCATTTGAACGACTCTAACCAGTTAAGATTGATTGCACTTTTTGTGAAGTATAAGTGTCGTTGCTAGTTTGACTTTCAACCAGTTAAACCATTTCAGCTGGGTAAGCATTTTGTCCGATTGAAGCTTTTGAGATATTTTGACCATTTGAACTACTTCAACCAGTAGAGAAAGATTGTAATTATTTCAGTTTGACTGTCTTCCCTAATTTAACTTTTTCAACCAGCCCAACTATTTCCGCTAGTAATGTATTTTGTTTGGTTAAACCACTGAAGTAAGTATGACCATTTATCGAGATACTTTGCGCAGTTTGTGCAGTTTCACTGTTGTTGTTAATTGACTATTTAACCAGTGGAGCCATTTCAGCTAGATAGTGCATTTTGTGAAATTAAGCCGATTAAGCTAGTTCTGCATTTTTTCCAGTGAATTATTTAGGCTACTTTCACCATGTGACACGTTTACGTAAGCCTGTGCTTTTTTTGTAGCTGAACGAATTAAGATATATTTGCAATAATTGTTTCAGAGTAAATGCGTGTTGTTTTGTAAATATAAACACTGTAACGTATTTTAACTTGTTTTTGTGTCCTTTTAAGCAACGTGATATGCCTGTTATGAGACAGAGCGATCTTCTCCACACTGTGCGCAGTTCATGACCTGATATTTTAAATTATTGAGAAGGCACCTTCCGATCTCCTTTGTTTACTTTGTAAGTCACGCAAGCGCGCACGCGTTATGACCGATTACGTTTATGAAACGTTTTAGGCCAACTCGGTATCTATTCTCCATTCAGTGGTTATGAAAACCTAAAATCCTCAACGTAGAAGATAAACGAACGAAGTTTTAATGGTCAAAAAGAGATCTTGGTCGATTTTCAGAATCATGCAAACGATCTTTGACACGAGCGCAGTTGAGCAAACACATAGATTTACATTGTTTTTAAGATGTTGCTGGATGGAAGCTAGAGATATACCCGCAGGTTTGAGGCAATCTGTGACCTCTAAGTTGTATACAATATGCACTGGTATACTTTTTCAGCCCGACAAACGCCTGCATTTTGAGAATTCTTTTGTACAAAATAGTGAATTTTTGATATGCAAATGAGGTCGAAGAGAAGGGTCTCCTCTGATCACGCTGGTATGGAAAATATTTCAGCTGAAGTTTCCGTATGTTGTCTGTGAACTAACTGAATACATCTTGCAACTTGTAGCAAGATAGAAGTTCGTGAGCTTCATTTTTGCAGTCACTGCGCGTTGATCAAAATCTTTGAAATTGTTACTTTCGATTGCTGTCCACAAGGGTGGTCTGGCCAAAAATCATTTTTGGCTTGTAACAACGCAAAAGAGAGAATTGAAGAACAACTAAACTATTTTTGAAACATGTGTCCTAAACCCTTTTTATGGGCGAAAAATAAAAGAAAACTTTTTTCCAATGAGAAGTCGAGAGGACCGCTCTCAGCAAGTGCAGCACTTAAATCTCAAATAGTTCATTGGTGCACTTCGCAAAGCTTTTGCTGAAAACCACAGAGAGATTCGACCATGACACTTAAAGCCCCGTTGGCCAGAGCAGCAAGCGACCGACATAGGATCTCCTGGAAATGCCAATGCTGTGTTCCCTCAGAAGTCGAAAACAGCAGACAAAGGCAGCTCATTGTCTTAACTGTAAAAAAAGTTGGACACACGATACCAAAGGTGGGTGTCCTGCTTGCAATCGAAAGTGCAACTCCCGCAGAAAATGTTGCCATTATGCGCAGTATTGTCGAGATTCTCAAAAGGGTCAGTCCTATGGGAGAGGTGGAACACATCGAAAAGGAAACAGGAAGCAAGGGTGTCAAAACTCCAGGCCCCCTTAAACCGTTAGCTAAGTGAACAAAGAGTCAAAGCCACGTTAACCGCCGTCGAGCTCAGATAATGAATACTGAAGAAATGAGAAATGGTTTCCGTGTTTACATAGCCTGATGCAAATACGCGGCAGGTTGGGAGAACATGACATACGCGTAGGAAACCACGACGCGAAGCGGAGTGGTTTCCAGCTTATCGAGTGTTCTCCCAACCTCCCAGGTGTTTACATTAGGCTATGTAAACATGGAAACCATTTTAAGTTTCTTTTACAAAATAACTAATGAAAGAGGAACGAAAACCGTGTTTACATGGCCTATCAGAGCGCGCGTACTATTTGAATTATTTTATAAACGTTGATGTTAACTTCTCCTACCAAGGTTAGTGCTCTATTTCAGTCATGGGAAGTCAATATTGTCACGTGCAAGCTCTTAGCAAACTCTGGGGCCCTCGTGAACATTCTGAGTTATGATGTGTCCAAGATGTTTGATTGTGGACCAGAACCTTGTGATACTAAAATGTATGCTTTTCACTCATTTAAACTCATCTTGGTGCTAGGTAAATTCAAGGCCACAGTGGAATCTTAATGTTGTTCAGTTGACTCTGAATCTCTCGTGGTAGATGACAAAACATCTCTTCTTAGATTTGCAACTGCTACGGAGCTTGAAACACTGCAAATTGCAAATGCTGTGTCTGTGGAAAGGAATGTGTAACAGAATTCCCCAAGTCCTTTCAGTTGCCCTTAGAAAGATAAAGAATGTTGAGATGAAATTGCATATTGATAAGAATGTGAAACCTATGCAGCAATTGCACAGATGCATCCCATTTTATCACTGGTAAATTCTTGAAAGTTGTGTTGATTTCCTGCTGCAACAGGGTGTCATTGAGCCCACTGATGGATCCGCTCCCTGGGTATCTGTTGTGGTTTTGGTGCCCAAGCCCAAACAACCTTGTTGAGAACGGCTGTGCGTGGACATAAGGGAATCTAACGAAACAATAACCTGAGAAAGACACCTCATGCTTACCCTTGATGAAGTGGAACACGACCTCATTGGGGCAAAAGTTTTTCGCCAAACTCGATCTCAATCAAGGATATCATGAGATGGTCTTTCACCCAGACTCCAAGCATATTACCACCTTTTTCACTCATCTTGGTCTGTACATGTACAGGCGCCTTAGTTTTGGCGTAAATGCTGCGGCTGAAAAATTCTAGCACCGTTGTCGATTTAGAACATGAACTAAGTTGCTAAAGCTTAATTTCTTTGTGTGCAAAAGTTTTACATCTCCAACCCTCTATCGCTACGGACAGAGAACATTATGGACTTATTTAACCTTTGCCTGACATCAACTTACTTTACGTACAACGGTAAACACTACAAACAGTTACACGGTACAGCTATGAGGTCTGCAGTTTCTGTTGTTGTAGCAGAAAATGTGATGCAAAACATCGAGGAAAGCGCCCTTTTGATTTGCCGACAGACGATACCACTTTGGTTATACTAAGTTGACGATACTTTCATCGCCGTACGACACGACGAAATTGACACATTCTACGACCACCGTAACGAACAAAACTCTGGCCTACAATTTACTTAAGTTAACGAGTGTCTTTTCATAGGTAGTGAAAGCAAATCGACATAATTTGATTTTTTGAAATCCTTTATTTCACAGTACGTTTTTAATATCAAACCACTACCAGGTATAATGCCAAGTACGATGGGATTCGTTGCTATCCCTCCAGCTACAGTAATAATCTGACAACACAACAGCCGATTTATGAGGACCTAAGAAGGAACACCATCTAACGAAAGGAATATTAATGAGGATCGTAATGCACCCACAGCAGCGAACCAACTTGCTACAATTAGCGACATGTAAACAATCGACCTTATCGCCTGACGAAGACTAGAAATATTGCAGTGAAAACATCGCGATCTAAATCATAACTGACTCTATCATGAGACAAACGAACAAATTTCATCTCCTATCTTACACCACGATGAACAATAAACATATATTTTATTACACAAATGTCATGTTTATCACCCCTAGGACCTCAAGGACCGGTATCTCCTTTGTCACCTTTTGGAACCTGAAGAGCGGTATCTCCTTTTGGTCCTTTTGCTCCAGTATCTACTTCGACACCTAGAGGACCCAGAGAACCAGCACCACCATTACCAGATGACCCTTGTGCACCAGTATCACCCTTGAAGCCTTGTGCATCAGTATCTCCTTTGTCACTCCTATCTATTTTAGCCTGCTAAGCACCAGTATCTCCTTTTAGACTTTATCACTTTTGTCTCCTTTAAGATCAGTATCACCCTTATCACCTTTGGTACTGGTGGCCCTGCTGCTCCTTCAACACCTTCCACAGTTGTATCTGTTTTGCTATGATTTTCTTCAAATATACTCACTGCAGTATATGCAAATACAAAATACTGTTTTATGAAGTTTAGATCATAATCAGTATGGGAAAACACTTTGACGACATTATTATATGTCGTCCCATACTGTGGTCATTCATGTAATACAAAAAATAGTATCTACGTGAGACACTGAACAAATCCTTATACTGTGTGCTGTTATACATATAATTGCGATTCCATTCATTGAACACCTTTATGATCTCTTTTGGACAATTAGGACCAAAACGTTCGAAGTATTCAGTTATCTCTTTGATGTTCATAACAACCCAATGTGTACCACCATCCACACTGTCATCAAGATTAATAACCTAGTATCCTATGTCTATCCCTTATTTGATCTCTGAAAAACACACCCATAAACTGCTTTATGCCCATTCACTTTACCTAGTTAATTATATCATAATTAGACAATGCTTTATGTGCAAAATTGCACCCAGTGGTGAGTTTTTGCCCAAGAGTAGTCCTTTTCTATTGGTTATCTTTTTTTGTTTTTCCTTTTATTTGAACCAGCAACCTATTGCACCTGCGTAGTAAAGCCAACTACCAATGAATGGTGGTGGTGCTTGAGGATACACTTCTCCCCCATTAGACCAACTACCTACGAATGGGGGTGGTCAATTTGGCACCAATGACTTATTGTATGTTGAAACCTGCATGCCACTACCATGTGATTCTGGTAGTGGATGAGGTGGCTGCAGTTGATATCTTAATCAGCTGTAAAATCCATTCTTTATTCCTCTAAATCAGGAAAACGCTCGATACTGTCCAGTGCTTTGCAATGAAAAGTTGTCCTACCGGAACCGTTAATCCGAGAGTTTACACAATGCTCAATCCTTTAGTTTCTCCGTAAGTTCGTTGACAAACGACTTTTCTGTAACTGGTTCCTTGGCCGTATTCAAGCACAATATGAAGGAAGCGAAAGAAAATGCTCAGCGCCGAGGTTTGACCTAGACTGGAATGAACCTCAGTAAAATCACCTGACCTAAAGAGCTGGTCCGATTACACAGATTACACTGGATAACTGATGTCAGAAACTGGCATTTGCATAACTCCCCGAAAATAAGCATCATCAAGACAGATCTTTCTCTAAATCGTGGACTTAAATGTGGCAAATGTTCCGTGTATCATGATCCTAATTCAGAAAACGGTTCCTTTGGAACCTGGCCATTGTCATCTCGATCTGCAACAAGATCTCTAGCCATGGGCCACTTGTTTCTGAAAGTGTTGTTGTCCTTCAACAAAACGATATCATCTTCCGTGAAATCTCTTTATTGTTGTATCACCTTTGTTTCAGATGTAGGCTCTGCAAGTACTCTTTACACCACCTGTTCCAAAATGTATTAATAATATGCTGTACACGCCTCCAGCCTCGCCTGCAGTAAAAATATACTCCATCCTCCCTGTTCTGGAGGATGGAATATAAGCGTGGTTTGCCAGTCAGAAGTACGTTTGGTGTCTTTGTTTCTTCTTTTAGGACTTCCTAACTTCATAGCTTCAGCTAGTTTAATTAATCTGGCTCGCAGTAAACATATCCTGATAGGGGATAAGTTGTGCTATTTTATTAATGGGTATCATATACTTATTCAGGCTACTTTGACCATGTGAACTACTTCGACCAAGTAAAATCGGTTTTCCAATTTGTGCAGCCTGTTTTGTCTGCTTCTTTGATATTTAAGCATTTGAGTTAGCTTGACAAGTTTGTGCAGTTGAACTGATTTAGTTATCTACGCCTTTTATCTGGTTGAGCCATTTCAGCAAGTTAGGCGTTTTGGTCATTTAAGCAAGATTGATCATGTAAAAAGTAGAACCAACTAAATTATTTTCACTATTTTGACTTGATTATGAATTATCTTCATTAGTTCAAGTAGTTTGAATGGTCAAACTAGCTTAGAGTTAAGATTTAATCAGACAAAAAGCATAACTAGCCTCAATAGTTTAACTGGTTAAAAATTCAAATTAGCAAATACAGTTAAAATTAAAAAATTGCAAAAAGCGGAAAAAGTTAAAGTGCACAAAATGCAGATAGTACGTGAGTTGGCTCAATCGGCTGTATTGGGCTTTAGGTAATGGATAAAACAACGGTTTGGTTTTTTTCTAGCTAAATTATCCTGTTTTTAACCTTATTGCACCAAAACGTTTGAATCAAAAAATTTTAATCGGACTGAAAGAAGTTTTTTCGCATATCGGCAGGTAATCACGTTAATTTTGACCTTATCTTACTGAAGAAACCGTTTTTGCTTTTGGTGCAGTAAAGCTAAGAACTTCTTTTCGGTGCAATAAAACTACAAACAGCTTAATTCAAAGGGAAACTAGCGAAATTACGCTCGGTGCGAGAGAGTTGGCAAGAGTGTAATTTAGCAGCGAAAAAGCAAAACTGTTGTAATGAGTGAAATATAGCTAGAATCAGCGTGATTAGCTGCAAACAGGTGAAAAAAATTTAAAGGGCAAATAGCTGAAGACAGCGTAATTTAGCGACAAAACAGCAAAAACCTTCTTTCCAGTAAGATAGCTAGAATCAGCGGGATTAGCTGCAAACTAGCGAAAACCTTTTTTCAGTGCAAAAAGCAACAAAACAGCAAAAACGTTATTTTCAGAAGCTTAAGCCAGTCAACCAGCTGCAAAATGGCCGACAAAACAGTTTTAAAGCAAGAAAGCTTAAAACAGCGTAAGCAACAACCAGGCGAAAAAACGTTTTCGGTGCGATAGAGTTGAACAGAGCGTAGTTTAGCAGCCAAAAAGCAAAAATGCTGTTGTGAGTAAGATGTAGCTAGAATCAGTGTGATTTGCTGCAAACAAGCAGAATAGCGTGACAAGCTGTAAACAGGCAGAGAACCATTTTTCGTTGAAAAAGAGCTGAAAACAGACTGCTAGTTTTCTTCGAGAGAGCTTTCTTTTATCCCACTGATGGTCTTTACGCACACCTTTGGCTTGGCTTGTTATTTTTCATTTCTTTATGGAAGGAACTTGTTTGCTCGAGGTTGAGGATTATCACTTGTACTTTTTCCAAGTCTCTGACCATGATAGTAGGCTAACTTTCACCATAAAACTCTGTCTGTAGATTTGAGGGCCTCTCAATTTCATCTTTTTCAGCTCTATTCGATGTATTCTTTCCCGTAATTGATTTCTAGAACTAAACCGGAACCAGAACTAAACATCTTCAC